AATCAAATAAAGTTATTATTATTCCTACAATATATCATGACGAGTTGACGATATTGGCCCCGTTCGCGTGCCCTTAAATTCGGCTTGATCCGTTTATTTTTTTCATCCGAAACAGTGTTTTTCTCTCACAAATTCCTCCAGCATTTCTCCAAACCATCCAGATCCCTCCAGAATTCAAACAAGCGAACATGCCCATTATTTTATCACATTAATTAGTAAATCACAAACGGACACCAAGGATGTGCCACCCTGTAATGTAAAATAAAATTGATACATTTAGCAATGTTGGTTGTCACTTGCAAGAAAAAGCAGCCAGGCATGTCGTTGTCGCCACTTCACTTTGATTTCCCCGAGCGAGGTGACGCCGTGAGAGGGGGGAATGGTGGCACGAGCAAGAAAGCTGTGCGCCAACTAGCTAGGTGGTTAGCTAGGAAACCCAAACCTAATCGATCTTCTCTTCTCACGCATGGTGTGTATAAATCAAACTAAAGACGCGCCAAAAGCAAAACCACCCGGTGGAGCTGATGATCCGATGCAATTGCATGCATGGTCCACATCTCTAGCTGCGTAGCAACCTCTGCTGTGTCTCTCTGCTTGCGTCGCAACTGCTAGCGGAGGCAGACAGCACAAGCTAGGAGTAGCAGGGATAGTAGGATGTGAATCACTCCACTAAAGATTAAAAAAGAATAATTGGGCTTTCAGAAAGACAAAACAGAAAAAAAAAACGGAAAAGAGGCAGAGATCTTTCATCAATGAAAAGGATAAAGGCCGGATGTACGGTGCCAAATAAACATGCTAGGGCACACCAAAGACATGGTAATGGGAAATGGCCTTTTGATCTCTCTCGGAAAGCTGTGGTGGTGTCCAAAAACTCCAAAGACTAAAGGAAGATGAGATGGCCACTTGGCCGGACAGGCAATGCAAGGCAAAGTTGTTTGGTGGGACGAGACGATGGGGTCGGCAAAGTTTGGTGGGAAATCCGCATGCACCGGCCTTTCATTTCATTTGTACGGAGAATCTTATCTGCTCCATGATCTCTACATATATATACCTACCTTTTTGTTTTCGTGTGCCGCTGGCCTTTGATTCATAATAAATTAATTAATTAAAGTTTGCGGCCGCACTTGATTTCAGGAGACGTTTCATTCAGGCTTTCAGCGCCGGCCGGGGCGTACGGTTCCTTGTACGGAATCCAAGCATACCATGTAAAGCTGTTTTTATTAGGTCGATCCAAACAGATCCCAAGTCTTCATACATGCTCATCGTCTTCATGAGACGGGCTCAAATAAACCCTGCTACTCCTGACATCAATTCAGCAAGATAGAATCGATATTGGAGATGATGATATTCATTTGAACAATCTAGTATGCATGTCTTGTAGTATGTATAAACTTACCTAGCTAGCTACCTGCCTCGCTCTACGTACGACTAGGATGATGACATAATCTTAATTACTAGTAGCTCCCTAGCTAATCTTTCCTGTTTTCCATTCATCGATCGATGCCTTTTACATTGTTTCAATACAAGTACAAATCATGAAACGAGAGGAATAGATGCATACAGGCATACAACAGAAGAGGACGACGATGAGTCGCGGCATTTGTTGTAGTGTTCGTTTTCACCCAGCGGCGGGCCCAGGATTTGAGGGCTGGGTATTTAAACTATACATGGGTACTATTTTTTTTACAACCGAATGGCTAATATTCGGCATGTATAATGCCATATAGTTAAAACTGCATAATATATAGTTTAAGAATTGAGCATAATTTCCATATTCAAGAATCTGAGCATAAATTGAAATTGTTTAACATAAAAAGGTACCAATAGTTCAACATAGCAAAGTGGCAACATATGAAATGACAACATATAGAATTGACAACCAAGTGACAATAAAACTTACAAAATCACAAGACAACTTTCCGATTCTTCATGCTTTGAAAACAGTTGATGATGTTCATCCTTTGCTTGCAAGAAGAATTCCCTTTCAATGAATGTAACCAAGCCATCATTCAAGTAATCTTGCCCCATCTTATATCTCAACTTGTTTTTGATATAGTTCATGGTAGAAAAGATCCTTTCCACACCGGCTGTTGCAACTGGAAGAACTAGCACCAATTTGAGAAGTTTGTAAATAATGTTGAACATATCAACCTTGTCCTTTTTAACAAGCATCATGGACAACTCTGCTAGACCTCTCAAATTTGTGAAGCTTTCATCATTTTCTTTTCATACTTGAGACCCAAAAATTAAAACAAGAGACTTGACAAACAGTGTGGGGATAAATTGGCAATTGCTATCCCTAAAACTTTGTGAGAGTGAATCTGAAGTACTAATTGGTCGCTACTAGCTACGTAGCACACACTCTCCCTGTTTTACACAAACACCCTGTTTTCCGTTACTGTATTACTATTAGACCTTCTCACCTCTCAAGACCTAAGGGTTTTTTCAGACAAGGAAAAAAGTCGATTCAAAGAGAGCAGAGCCCAGAGCCCAGAGACGGGGAACTGAAACAGCATCCTTGGGCCTCTGTTAGACGGTTATATAGCAAAAGGCTGGGCCTCGATGGGAAGCGAAAACGATTACCCTAATTGATTGTATAGGTAGGAAGTTCACTGTATTTTTCTTTTTCTCATATACAGACTTGTATATACATTATATATATGATTTTTTTTGCCAAAAAATTTGGGTATTCAACTGAATACCATTGAATACATGTGGGCCCACCCCGGTTTTCACCCTCAATATTACGAGAGGAGAGGAGACACATTCATGAATGAATACGCGGGCTTCATAGTAGTAGTAGCTTGCATTGGATTCCAATCGTAATGGACAGCGGATCCAGCTACTGTAGTAAGTAGGTGTTGGATCCAAAGCCGTTATCCAGGAAACTCCCCCACCAGGCTACACACATCCCCCACACCAATTAATCACCCAGCATCACTTTTGTCCTTGTGTTAAAACATTGGAATATACCAGTTTCTGAATAATTTTTAAGTTGTTGAATTTGGAAATATGAAAACCATATAAATAGATTTGTCTTGAAAAATACTTTCATAAAAATATACATATATTATTTTTTGATAAATATTTTTATAAAAATAAAAAGTCAAAATAATACTTTGGAGTCGTGTTGCTGTCAAAACGACTTTATTTTTTTAAGTATGAAGGAACTACTACTATTAGCTACGTAGCACAGACTCTCCCTGTTTTACACAAACACCTTGTTTTCTGTTACAGCCGGTTCCGTGAAAGTGGATACTCCTATACACTGCATCTCCAGCCGGGTTCCTCTAGAGATAAGCAAAATATGGGCCAGGCAAAGAAAAACAGAGATAGCCAGGCCCAAGAATATGAACCTAGGCTACTCAGGCTGGCCTAGTTTTCCGTTGGGCCATGAAAAGCAGCTTCACACCTGGCAGGCTTGGGTCTAGATGGGATGGACCAGATTTGCTCATGTGGCAATCAATGACATGCATGTGTGCCTTTTTCTAAACCGTGTTACTAGAAAATTAAGCAAGTTGACAACCAAACTCATTGATTAATGAGGTTACCAAACTCCTTAGTTGGTCTTAAAATTGCTTGGATAGCTTGTATTTTTTAGGATAAAGAGAGTAATTAGTTGTCTAATAGTTCGTGATTAGTATTTGCTAGGTACCTATTAGCTTGGTCATGTTTGGATCCACTAACTAAAAGGTTAATGTATTAATAGTGTTGTCTACAATGTCTTTTTTTCCTATTTGCTATTGGTATGAAACGTGGACAGAAGTAGGTGGGAGGTTTGAGGTTGCTTATAAGATAATTGTTAGCTGAGTCCCTAGCTAACTATTAGTTGATTTATTAGTTGTGGCCTTTTGGACCTACCCTAGCTAATAGCAGTTACTCCCTCTGTCCCCATTTATTTGTCGTTCTAGCTATGCTTCTAGTAGTCTAGATTCAAAGCATCTTCTATGTATTTAGATGTCATGTATGTCCAAATTTAGAGAATCTCGGATGTATCTTATAGAAGGCCAAAATGACATATAAAAAGGGGACGGAGAGAGTAACTATTAGCTGGATGGATCCGAACAATGTCTTTTTGTTTGAGAAATCTAATATATACAACATACAAAAACTAACTATTATTAGCTGGATGATTTAAACAACAACCTCAGTGCAAAGTTTCAATACACAATTATCAAGAGTGCTACATCAGCTTTACAAGTAAATGAAATAGTTGATGACAATGCACAGTTTTATAGGTTATCCACATTTAATTGTTATAATATGGTGTTATGATCAAATGTAGCATATGAAAAATATAGACTTGCAATTGCTTACAGTTATTTGCTTATCTCTCCGAAGATCCTCGAGAACATTGTGAGAACGAAACAAATCGGTATTAGTTGAGGTTTCACTACATTTTTTTTGTGTTGATAAACTTGATGGATGAGTTTCATTCTACAGTAGTATAAAACTCTATTTCTCTTTTTCTTTATAAATACTCTTTGGACTAAATAATTTTGCAAATATATTACAGTTTTAAAATGAGAATGAAACCGAGTGAAACTCTGCTAAAACTGATCTAATGTCTCATGTGTACGTGCACTTGATATTTCTAGCTTTACCCTATTCGTTTGATCGTATCAGCCATGATACGTTACTTTTCTTTCGTAATAAAACAACATTAAGCAACTTATGAGTCACGTAAACGATGAAGCGAACAGGTGGAACGGAAGTTGCTCCGTTGCGCTGTCAGCAGCTGTCGCCTGTGGTGTGGCGTGCCTGGAAAGAGCTGCTGAGCTGTCGCCTCCGCATCGCCCTCCAATTCGCCGTTGGCAGAAGAACCACTGCACCAGCACCCCTCCCCTTCCACACCGCCGCTCCCGTCTCTTTCTTCGCTTCCTCCTCAACCACGCTGCCCCTCCGTACACCCGACCCGACCCGACCCAATCGCGGCGGAATCGCCTCCTCATCGCGCCGCCCGACCGCATTGCACGGAGCCTCCAGGGCGGCGGGGCGGCATGGCAGCCGCCTCGGCCGCGGCGGGATGGACCGCCGAGGACGACGTCCTCCTGAAGAATGCCGTCGAGGTAATCTACGCCGCCCTACCCAGACCCGAGCATTACCCCCCTTCGATACCCGCGCGAACTACACAGGAACGCTACGCCCTGTTCCTATCGGCGCCGAATTCCGGTGCTGCTCCACTAACTTCCCGCCTCACCTCGGCCGGTGGCCGCGTCGCCGGGCCTGGCGCTGGCGCCGGCGCCTGGCGCCCCCCGTACTGGGAGGGATAGTCCGACCTCGTCGTCTCCATCGCGTTCGATTCGCGGTTCATCTTGTTTCTAGTATTGCTGAATTTTGGGTTCGCATCGCCGCCCCGTCGCTTGTGTGGCTTTGGGTTGATTGCTCGGCGAGAAATTGAGAATACGATCGTCTCCTCCGCCCGCAACACTCTTCTAAGTGAAGAGTTCCTGTAGATTGTTCGAGCCACTGTTTTGCGCCGGGGCACCTGGGTTGCTGAAACGCTGCCATATCCGAGTGTTTTGTTGGTTCGCGTTACTACTTACTCGTGCTCTGTAATTGATAAATTCTCCACGTTGCTTGCTTCTGAATTTCGGGTGTGATTGATGTTGCTCAGTGGCCTAGCTACCGGATTTAGTGGTTTGAGCATCTGTGCAGAGGATTTGAGATCCTTGTTGAACAATGTGGCCACATACCTGAATTCATGTTTGCAGAAGTGAACAACGTAGGAACACACCTTTATTCTTGAGGTCGATTCAGTTCACTGCAATGATCAACTTATCCTGATGCTATATGTCTTTCCCATTCCCGCCACATTTGATGCTATGGTTTTGTCTGCTTCTAACTTTCTTTAATGGATTAGACGTCTAATGCACGGGGTTATTTGTGAAACAATTACTCTCCTGCAGTTGCATTTAATAATTAGATCTGTCAAAAGGTTGAGAAGTTATTGGTGTCTCTATTTGATAGAGAAGTGTCTTGGTACTGGCGTGTTTGATTTAATTTTGTCTATTCATTACTTCTCATCTCGAATGGAGTACTAGTGTACTACCATGTGTCCGGTTTCAGGTTTGGATCCCAGTGCTGAATTTTCACTGTAGCATCCAGTCAGGTGTTAACGATTTTTTGAATTGACGTTAGTGGTACGTAGGGATACTATAATCTACTTGTCAAAAATCTTAACTAGTGTTCACTTGAGCCATATTTTGTGTGCCTGATTATGATTGTGTGTTACTCAACAACTGCAGTTCTAAATGAATTCCTTATCTTCATATGTGTAAATCAAATGATGATTTGAGTACTTCCAATTTCCTTGTGTATTCATGAATCATAATATAGTAAACTCTCACATAAAATTCACAGAAACTAGAGTGCAATCTATTTAGCCCTCTTACCTATGGCAGTATCGTGTCAACATCTTGTGCCTACCCTGATGCTACTCCTAGCTCCATGAACTGGCATTATGATAAAGATTTGACTCGCGCTTTTTTACATCGTTTCATTAATTTGTATTTTGATTGGTTATATGTCGTGTGAGGACTCAGGACTGCCACTGCAGTGACTCTGTGCCATATATATCAAGATTAGTTGTAAAACCTAGTGATTTATGCATGGCCATGACCAGCACAAAACGGTGGTGGTATTGTGTTATGATTGTTTGAGCCAAAGCTAATAAGCCAAAGCCAATTTTACAGTGACATGGTTTGAGTTCCATGTTCAAACATCGCCATCTGTGGGATTATTTTTATGATCCTAACTTTTCACACTGCATCCTAGCTGCTTCATCTTGTCTTTGAAAACAAGTTGACTTGATAATGTGTGCCAAGTAAATCCAAAAGCAAATCACAATGATCACAACTAGAATGTATACCTTTTACTGTGGGTAAATGAAAACTTGGACTATAAATTCAAATGTCTAAAAAACACACAATATACACTACTTTAAATTTAATATTCAATCAAGTTGACTGATTTGCACATTTGATATGTTAGGGCAAAAAAATAGTAACGGTGGTAATGATGTATGGCAGCTGCCATTGTATGATCGGTAGAAGTAACTGCTTGTTTAAATGATCCAGATTTTGCAAATATTGTGAGGATTAAGTTTCTTTTACTATATGTGAGTAGTATCGTTTTTTGTACCCTGTTAATTTATCTGTCTTATTCTTGTAGGCTGGTGCTTCATTGGAATCATTGGCTAAAGGAGCTGTATGCTTCTCCCATAAATTCACCCTTCCAGAACTGCAGGATCGCTGGTATTCATTGCTATATGACTCGGAGACATCAGCTCAAGCATCCGCTCGCATGGCCAAGTTTGAGATGGAGCTTTCAGCCTCCAATCCTGCTAAAGCATCTAAGCTTTTCAACCCAAAGGCAAAATGCTTTTCCCTGTACAAGCGGAAGATAGATAGTGTAAAGAATCACTATTATGCAATGAGAAAGAGAATTCGCCATGAACCATGTTTGTCTGCTGATTTTTGTTATAGTATTGCACCCTGCTCATGTAATCCTGTTGATGGTGGTGATTGTGCATGTGGAGACCATCATTTGTTGCACAAAGTTGATCCATCAGGAGCTGTTGTAGGTGGCTATGGATGTATAGGCGGATGTGGCTCTAAGAGAAAACATGTACATTCCAATGGTAGTGGACAATACTCATTTCATGCAGAGCATTCTAACTCTGATGGCAGCATGGTGATAGATGGAAATACCAACTATGAAAGCCCACATGGCAACTCAGATGTAGACAAATTATATGGCTGTGACAACATGCAGAAGAGTTCTCAGACCAGTGGAAGTAATGCAATCTCTGCAAATAATAGGTTGGATCTTACTGATCAGTTTGACCATGGAGATAAAGGTTCCAAGGCTCCACTGGGCATTCATCAAGATGGTGTAAAGCTTGACCGATCTTCTGGAAATACCACAGGAGGATTTCTTGAGCCAGGCGCATTCAAAGCAATTAATCAAAAGTGGTGTCTTCGGGAACCTAGCATTCCAACTTGGAGTAAGGTCCTAGGTGTTAATTCATCTGATATGCTGACAGATATGCATAAAATTGAAGGAGAAACTCTTATGCTTTCTGATGACAAGAAAATGGAAACAAATAGCATTGATGCACTTGCATTTCAGGCAAATTTGGATAGTGTAGTATGTGATTCTGGTTTAGGCAGTGCAATGGCGTCAGAAGGTGGATTCATGCATTCCCACTTAAAGGGTTTTAGTCAGAAAGAAGACCTTGAGCTTGTCAGCAGTGATCTTTTCCTAGATTGTGCACTGGAGACAAATAAGGAAGATTTAGGGCCTCACCCCCTGATGCAACCAACTGTGATGACCATATAGATCATATCCAAAAGAAACCAAATGTAGCAGATGTTTTTGGAGTAGACAGTATACCTGCTTCATCAGAAGTGCTTTATCCTGAACATAATGTCAAGTGCATGTTGAACACAGAAGATTCTGAAATCCCTATCAATGACTGTATACCTATACCTGGTCAGACCTCTTTAGAACCCACTTCTACCTTTGACCAGGATGCTCAGCATGATGCGTGTTTGGTTGCCAAAATGATAAATATGGAAAATGGCCAACCTTCATCGCCACCACCACCAGTTAATCTGGAATCAGCCATCCTAAAGCAAAATACAAATATGGTGCCTCTTAAGGAAGGTTGTGCTGTAGGAAGTGAGCTGCCACCTGGCCTGCAGGGTAACTTTGGTGGTAACAATGCAAACACGTGTATTTCAGCACTGCATTCTGTTGATGGAGGTGAAGAAACAACTTGTGGTTTCATTAAACATGAGAGTTGTTATGATGTACAGAATTTGACTTTGGATAAGTCAATTCAAGTGTCCAATCAAATGAATTGCAAGTTTCTTGCTCATAAGCCCGGAATAGGCTGTGAAACTGCTATCCAAAGCTGCGAGTTGGCTTCTGCATTGCCAGATACAGAATTTCATGACCCCGTTGCAACCATTTCAACTACGGGCCAAGCAGAAGGATCTGACAGTGAGATTAGTGTTCCAAACTATTTTGACCTAGAAGCACTGGTACATATATAGTTCTTTTCTTCATTGAGTTTACATGGCTTTATATGCCTTGGTGCTTCTGACTTTCTCAAAAAAAAATATTGCAGATACTTGATCTGGACCTGATTCCATGGGATCAAGAATCTGACTTCATCCAACCGGAAGGTAAATGCATATGAACACCTGATATTCTAATGTTCATCTATGTTAAATATTTTTTAATTGGTCCTGTTGTTATCTTTTATGCTCTTAGTGAACCCTAATACTATGTTTTTCTGTTTGTGCTATTTGTATGATCAGTTTCAAGGTTTCAGTATCCTGAAAGCAGGAAGGATTTGATAAGATTAGAGAAAGGTTCCTGCTCTTATATGAACAGATCTATCATGTCTAAGGGTGCTTTCGCAATTCTTTATGGCCAACGCATGAAATACTACATAAGAGAGCCTGAGGTAATATTAAGCAATGATATTGTGAATCTTCATTGCATTATACTCCCTAAAATTTTTAAAATACACGTTCTTTTAGATTGGCCACATGATAATAATATCATTAGATTTGTTATGAGGACTTTCCAAAAGTTAATAGTTTAGACTTGTGTCCAACATTTTACTAATAATAAATTTATAGTCAAACTTGTTTATTCATACATGTCGAAAGAGGCAAAGAATATCCCATGGGTGTATTCCCTGTTGTGTAAATTGAAGTGCTTAAGCATTTCTATTTACATCAAGTGTTGTTGTTGTTGACAAGAGACATCACTTAATTGTTATTGTTGGTTGTCAAACTCACCTGTTTTATTATTTTATTGCCTGATGAATTCTTAAATATAGTCTTTAACTAGCAAAACAGATGTCACCCTGCAGGTTAAAACCTTTCTCTACCGCTGATATGCTTTTAAAATACACTTCTGTATCATTTTTATGCCATTTTGTAAAACTTTGCTTGGTCCTATTCTAATGCAGGTAAGTCTTGGGAGAGAAACAAAAGAAGTACATGTTGATATCGATTTGAGTAAAGAAGGGAAGGCAAACAAAATATCCCGTCGACAGGTACTTGCTTGCCTTTTTTATGAGTTAATAGGTGCAAAACAACCTTGGTTTGTTGGAAGCATTAATGCAATAACTGTAAGGAGGTTCTTATTATGTTTTCAGGAGAATTTTCCCTTTGTGTTAATAAGCTTGGGCTTCTAAGGATTTCATTTTTATTTTCTTGCTTAAGCATGCAGCATGACCCTTTCTTAACCATTTCTCTGCTTCTGTACCTTCTGCTGCACTGTCTTTTTTCTTGACATGGCTATACCCACTTGCCGATTTGGTTCTGCTTGGTGACATGCCTATATAGCCACTTGATGAGATCGTTCTGCTTGGTACTCACAAATCCCAAAGGAACAGGACCTACTCACAAATCCCTCGCTGCCGCCAAATTATGATGTTCAGTTGTTAATGTGCTAGCTTACCTTCTACTTGCAATTCTGTATTTTGATGTGCAGGCAGTTATTAAGATGGACGATGATGGATCTTTCTACATAAGCAATACTGGGAAGTATTCAATTTTCGTGAATGGCAAAGAAGTACCCTGTAGTAAACGTATCAACTTAATGTCAGACTCATTAATTGAGGTATGGCCTTCCAATCCTTTCTTTCTTCTAATACTAGGAGTTCCAAATGACTGCGCTGTACTAAATATCCATGCCCTGTTTAATTCTATGTACCAGTTCCTTTTTTTAATCTAACTTCGAACTAGTAAGCTGTAGAGCTATTAACTGTGCATATTTGTATGAAAAATGTGCTTTCAATTGTACTATAAGATTGAAGTAATCAAGCATTCATAGTCATTTCAGATATGAGAAATTTTATAATGGTTGGAAAAAATAAAGACCATCCATCAGGAGGCATTGAACGGTGCAAAAATAAGAGATACCAAAAGTAAAGAGAAGTACCAAAAAGGTGGAGATAGTACCAAAATTAGGTGGGGCTAGTACCAAAATAGGTGGGCCAAATCTGGATTATTATTATTTTTTTTTATTAAGGGCAGAACTGTATTCAATAGGTTCATGGTGGGGTAAAAAATTGGGATGTCCCATCCACCCGTGGCCGTGGGTCACCTCGTCCTTCTCCCATGGCAGCCGGCAAAGAGTTGCCAGCCCGCCGCCAACGCCCGTCGCGAGGGCGATAACACTCAGGCGGAAACGGCTAGTGAGTAGCAGATGGTCGTCTAGAGCCTAATAAGAATCATCCTCCGCAAAAGGACTGCGTCTCGTGCAGTTTCCTCCTCCGGCAGCTCCGCCTGGCGCCCTGGCCGCCGTCAGCTCCAAAGCATGAAGGAACAGCAGCACAACTCTAAAGCGTTGAGAGTGTGGCGTGCCTAGTCGACAGCTACCTTTCCAGGATGTCCCGGTACGGGAACCTTGCCCTGGGCAAGTTCCAGGCCATGGCCGAGTTGCTGCCGGAGTTGGCACGCGTGTGCCACGATGGGCTGTACCGTGCTGTCGTACCTGAAAGCGCATCCGGGGGTGACGGAGCACGAGCGGAAGCGGCTATGCCGAGCGGTGGACTGCGGGGATGCGAGGAGGTACGCACGCACGTGGCACAACGGGTGGCTGCTGCTCCACGTCGAGGTGCGCAGGTGCTGCTGTCGGAGCAGGCTAAGATGGCCGGCGCCTGGCGCGCTCGGCAAGGTGGGCAAGGAGGACGACGTCAACGTGCTGAGGCTTGAGTTGTAGCGCTTAAACGCAAAGTACATGGAGCTGCAGCGCGAGGTGGGGCTTCTGCATTGACAGGTGGAGCGCATGCTGCCGTGCGGTGACAACTGACAACCAATTACCGCTATACCCTAGAGAATAAAAATTAAATTTTAAATGATCTTCCACAATTAAATAACAAGTAAATATAAAAAAAAATGAAAAGTACCTGGAAGTACCGTGGTACTTTTCCAACCATTGTAAAAGAGCTCGATATGATTTAGCTGGATGAGAGTATGGTTACTTCACTAACTACTGTTTCATTTGTGGTTCCTTAGTTCACACCACACATGATATGAGTGCACCTATCTTTGTAACTGCATAAGGCGCTTAGGAAAACGCTAATCAGGAAAGTGAGTTGTACCTGGAAAGATACAGCATGCTTTCCTTTTGCATCTTATTGAATATTTGATGCCACTCAGCTGTTGTGAATTAGTCTGGAGTTAAATCAGGATTTTCCATTCGCGATGTCTGTTGGCTCATATTTGAAATGAAATGTCACTGGAACCAGAGAGAAACTTTCATTTGGGATTCATAGATAATACTGCCTCCGTCTCAACATATAAGCATTTCTAGTTTTATTTAAGTCAAACTATTCTAAGTTTGACTGAGTTTATAAAGAAGAGTAATTACATCTATGATCTATGATATCAAAGAAGTAAACTACGAAAATATGTCAATGAATCTAATGATGCCCATTTGATATCATAAAAAAATATTGTTCTTTTTCTATAAACTTGGTCAAACTTAGTATAGTTTGACTTAACAAACCCAGAAATGCTTATGTTGGGATGGGAGAAGCAATGTATAGCATTTGGATCTAGGTAATGTTATAATGGCTACTAGTTATGGTTCATTTGGTTAGTTTTGAAATAATGCTTCTACCCTACTTATTTCACTGATAATGTAAACAATTCATGTAGCACTTTGAACTCTTACGAAGCTGTTTTTTTGTTACCTACAGATAAGGAACCTGAAATTCATTTTTCATGTGAACCACGAGGCTGCAAGGAAGTACATAGTTCGAAAAAGGAGAGGAAGCTCCCAAGGCGAGAACACAGCATTTGATTGGAGTCAGAACCCTTGAGTTAATGTTATGATCAAGGTTATTTATAATCTGCGACAGCTATATCTCTCTTCCAGAAAGCATTGGATTGGATGAGAGCGAAGTTATTTATAATTCCCGGTAGCTAATATCTCTCTCTTCCAGTTAGCACTTTATCCATTTACCACCCACCATATGTAAATCCATGTTTATTCTTGGTTCTTGTATTCTGATTACCCCAAACTATGTTCTTGGGATGCGGGCTGCCGTGTGCCATTGTTTTCTATTTGGTTTCATTTCTTCCCATAAAATCTTCATTACTGGAAAAAAGTAGCTTAACTCGAGTTGGAATATTCAAAGATGACAACCGTAATACTAAAATAACTAATCTAGAGGGCATGTTTCGATCAGAATTTCATCGAAAGGTTTCGATACTAGCTCAAAATTTGAACTAATAATCACCATACATTGCATTGAACTCTTTGTTCAAACATCTGTTTCTAATAAATCTTTTGTTGTCAATTCTAAAAAAAAAAAACTTTTGTTGTCTAGGGTTTGTTGCACGATGCCAATCTAGTTATGTTATATGGAGTCAAGTCTGTTTTGTCTCCTCAACTTGTTGCTGAAGTTGAAAAACTCCCCTAAACTCGAATACCAGACGACACATACACCATATATCTCAAAACCAGATAAATTACCCCTCTTAAAATTTTGGAGTGACTTTAAAGGTGATTTTGCTAATGTGGCACGTAAATGATATATGACTCCTGCATGTCATTGGTCTTTTAACCATGTAACTTTTTATTGAATATTTGAGCTCTGAAATAATCCCAATGAAAAAAATTTCAACTGGAAAGCTCTAGATCTTGTTGAGCACTACTACATTGGTGTAGATTGTTTCACCATTTGAAGTAATTTAAAATTTTCAAACATTTGAATTTCAAAATATGACAACTCTAAACAAATATTCGGGACTCAAAATGATCTCAAATAAAACAATTGTCAAATACAAATTTGTAGTTAGGTTAAGAGCTACAGGTTGGTATAGATCATGTCAACATTCGAGATCATTTAAAAAAATTTAAAATTGAACTAAAAATTTGATAACTTGAATTGAAATGAATATTTGAACCTATAAACGATTTTAAATTTTATAAAGGCAAGGCAAGGAGCCACAACACCAAGCACCGTGGCACGCCAAATTAAGACCCTGATGCACGGGAGAGACAACACATCACCTTCTTGGCTTCCTTGACAATCCCTATCTTAACAGTAGACGATGGAAGTTTATCTGGCTTTGCAGCAACAATCAACACCCTGCCAGCCTCATCAAAAGGAAGGAAAAGCTTGCTCAACATCGGAAAAGGGCAAACCAACCAACGACCAAAGGATGTAAGGAGCAGATCTAAGCTTGCAAAAACTCGATGAGACTGAGCTGATCGACCAAGAGCGAAATGTGAACCTGAGCCATGCTCAGACAAAGAATGACCATCTTGTGATTTCCATTTGAACTCCAGACGATGGAAGTTTAATCGACACCTCTGGCTTTGCAACAACATCCAGCACCTTGAAAATCTCAACAATTAAATGAAGAGCAGAGCATGCTCGACACTGGAAGGATCAAAGCAACCAATGACCAAAGGCTGTAAGGAGCATATCTAAGCCTTCAAAAACGCGATGAGGTCGAGCTTATTGACTAGGAGCAACTTGTGATCTAGATCCATGCTTAGACAAAGAATGACTTCCCTAGCTATTTCAAATGAGATCTTGACGGGAGGATATCCATCCGATAATGGCGCGACAGCGGTAGACCTACCACTTGCTCCCTCTTCAAGACAACATGACCATCAACCATAGACAACAGAGGGGTTAAGGGTTTATCGTCCCCGCTGTCCTCAACGATGGCGGTAGTTAGAGAAGTGGGAGCTAACGATGGTGGAGGACGAAGGGAACGCAGATGAGGACTAGGGTAGGAGCTCGCTGTGAGGGGAGGTGGTGATGGCGGGAACCAATGTGTAGGCTACCAAAGATCTAGATCCGAGTGAGTACCCAGCGATGGTGGGTCTAGTATCTCCAATATCTACCACTGCCGCGAACGTAGCGACAAAAATGGTATGCCCCAAATTTAGATCTGGATCTAGAGGGTCACCTAGCAGTGGCATGACCATCTCCCACACTTCCTTGGTGATGATGGAAAACTGGGATAGTTGGATCTAGAGAAGGGCACACTAAAGACGTAAGCTATCAAGGAGGGAAAATATTGGGTGCAAACCACCCTCTTGGTGTAATCGTGAAAACCCTTCCAAAAACCCTGCTTAGAGGTTTCCAAAAATTATGAAATGATGCACATCCATAGTTCATCTATAGATGTACGTTGTAGCAAAAGTTGGAAAACAAAATCAATCTAGAAAAACTCATGGAAATACCAAATTTCATGAGTATTTGCACTAGAAGACAAATTCCCAGGAATTTTGTCTTCTAGTGCACTTGCACCTGAAATTTGTCATTTTTGTATGGATTTTTACACAATATGTTTGCCTCCCAACTTTTGCTACAATGTACATATATACATGAACTGTGGATTTGCATTGTTTCATAATTTTTGGAAAACTCGAAGTACGGTTTTTGGAAGGGTTTTCACGATTGCACCAAGAGGGTGGTTTGCACCCAATATTTTCCTACCAAGGATTCACACCATCGATGAGGGGCGAGAGAAGGGGTTGTGCGCGGGGGTGGGGGCTAGCAAGGTGAGGAATGAGGCGTTGGAGATGGCCTAAGCGCAAGAGATGTAGCTCAGTAGGTTCATCGGTGGTGACTACGGCGGCGACGAGGACATGGCAGGTGGAAACCCCAAAAGTGCTCATTGTGTATCACCATCTCATAGCTAAGGTCCTCCATCCTAGTTTTTTCTTTTTGAGTTTATCCTAAGTGAAACTATCATAGGTTTGACAGAAGTCTTGAGAGAAGAGTATTAACATCTACTACATTGTATGATGGATTAAATGAAACTAGTTTGGTGTTGGAGAGGTCGGTATATATTTATCTAGACTCGGTGAAAATTAGATAAGTCTAACTTAAAAAAAAAACCAAAACCACTCTGGGCATGTTATAGTATGTACCGTTGTTTCTCAATTATTGTTGTCCCTAAAAGCTACTGTTGTTGGGTTTTGTTGAGAAAAAAGAAATCTCCCAACAGAATTACAGAAAAGAGTCTTGACAGAAATCTTGTTGAACGAGTTGGCAGCAACGACAACTCAACACAAACCCTCCACTTTTTGTTGGTCCCACCTGTCAGTCTTATGTATAGGTGCCGAAACGCTGACTCCAGCTCCCGTCCACAGCAACAGATTCCTTGGCGCGCTGACGCGCTCTCCTCGGACGGTCAACAAATTCAACACCGCCTCCGGCCGCCACGTGTGTCGCGCCGCAAGAACTGCGGCGATGGCGCGCCCCTCCGTCCCCCGCACCGGTGAACACGCCGCGGCGCCCACCGGCGGCGACACCATTCTCGCGGTCCACGATGACGACGGCACAGTCCACTGCGACTCGTTGGACGCCACCGCGACGCGGGAGGTCCGGTACCGGGGGTGGAAGGCGATGCCGTTCGTGATCGGGAACGAGACGTTCGAGAAGCTGGGCAGCATCGGCACCGCGGCGAACCTGATGGTGTACCTCACCTCCGTCTTCTACATGACCAACGTCCGCGCCGCCGTGGCGCTCAACGTGTTCGGCGGCACCACCAACCTCGCCACCGTCTTCGGCGCCTTCGCCTCCGACCTCTGCCTCGGCCGCTACGCCACGGTTGGCTTCGGCTGCGTCGCGACAGTCATCGTACGTAAGAAACCGGCATCGCCAACGAACTTAATTTGCAGTAGTTAGTTGCGGCCGGCTGAAATCTGAATCTTGGTGTGGGAACTCTTTCTGATCTCGATGGCATGCAGGGCATGATCATCCTGACGCTGACGGCCGGCGTGCCGGCGCTGCACCCGCCTCCGTGCAGCGCCGGCGCGGGCGGGCAGCAGTGCGCGGGCGCGACGGAGGGACAGTTCGCGGTGCTGGCGCTGTCGTTCTTGTTCATCGTGGTGGGCGCGGGCGGCATCCGGCCGTGCAGCCTGCCGTTCGGCGCCGACCAGTTCGACCCGCGCACGGAGTCCGGCCGCCGCGGGATCAACAGCTTCTTCAACTGGTACTACTTCACCCTGACCATCGCCGTCGTGGGCTCGTCGACGGGGATCATCTACGTGCAGAGCAACGTGAGCTGGTGCATCGGGTTCGCCATCCCCGCCGCGCTCATGTTCGCCTCCTGCGTGCTCTTCTTCGCCGGCGCGGGGCTCTACGTCCGCGTGCGCCCCGAGGGGATCCCCTTGGCCAGCGTCTTCCGCGTCGCCGTCGCGGCGGTCCGTAAGCGGCGCGCCCCGGCGCCCGAGGACCCCGCGGCGTCCCTCTTCAGGACGCGCCACGCGAGCTCGCTCGTGTCGAGGCTCCCCTACACCGACCAGTTCAGGTTCCTCGACAAGGCCGCCGTGGTGGTGGAGTACGACAGCGAGGTCGACGACGCCAGCGGCGGCCGCCCCAGGGACCCGTGGCTGCTGTGCAGCCTGCAGCAGGTGGAGGAGGCCAAGTGCGTCCTCCGCATCATGCCGGTGTGGGCCACCTGCATCGTCTACTATGTGGCGTTCGCGCAGACCAACACCTACGTCGTCCTGCAGGCGGCGCAGGCCGACCGCCGCCTCGGCCCCGGCGGCGGCTTCGAGGTGCCGCCGGCGTCGTTCACCATCTTCCCCATGCTGGCGCTCGCCGTGTGGATCCCGCTCTACGACCGCCTCGTGGTGCCGTGGCTGCGCAGGCTCACCGGCGTCGAGGGCGGCGTCACGCTGCTCCAGCGCATGGGCGTGGGCATGGTGCTCTCCGTCGTGGCCATGCTCATCGCCGGCGTCGTGGAGCAGCGCCGGCGCGAGCTCGCCGTGCTCCACCAGGCGGAGGCGAACCGCGAGCTGCTTTCCGTCACCCTCGTCTCGCCGGCGTCGGCGTTCTGGCTGGTGCCGCAGCTGGCGGCGCTGGGCCTCTCGGAGGCGTTCAACCAGGTGAGCCAGATGGAGTTCTACTACAAGCAGTTCCCGGAGAACATGCGCAGCGTCGCCGGGTCGCTCCTCTTCACCGGCCTGGCGCTGTCCTTGTACCTCAGCGGGCTGCTGGTCGTCGTGGTGCACCGCGCGACGGCCGACCCCGTGCGGGGCGACGACGGGTGGCTCGCCGAGAACCTCAACAGGGGGAAGCTGGACTGGTTCTACTTCCTCATCGCCTTCATCGGTGCCGTCAACTTCTTCGTGTTCCTCGCATGCGCGAAATGGTACAGGTACAAGGGACTGGATGATGGTGAACAAGATGCAGACGGGGTCCATCAATGGCAGCCAAGAACAGTGGAAGTAGACGACTGTCCTGAGGAAGGAAGAGTAGTACGTAGACGTAGCTTCTGATTAGGAGATCAACCTGCTGTTATCTTACTTATCTTCTCTCTCTAGTGGAGTAGATGGTACATATTACATACAGTAGAGATAGATGGCAGCAGTAATGTGGCATGATCAATAAACCTGCACTAGTAGAGAACAAACCTCTCATCCGAGATCAAAATGGGCTCTAGTCTCGACATTTTTTGCGCCCGGAACTAGAGAGACCTTTAGTCCCGGTTGGTGTCTCCAACCGGGACTAAAAGTCCCCTCGCCCAACTGCTATCAAGGCCGGGCAACGCGATGGCAGGGGACCTTTAGTCCCGGTTGGAGACACCAACCGGGACTAAAGGTGGACCTTTACTCCTGGTTGGAGCCACCAACCGGGACTAAAAGTCCTCCAACCTTTAGTCACCAACCGGGACTAAAGATAGACCCTTTAGTCCCGGTTGGTAACACCAACTCGGACTAAAGGACCCTTTAGTCCCGGTTGGTAACAATAACTGGGACTAAAGGTCCCCCGATGGGTTAGTTCAAAAGGAAAGCATCCCATTCATTGTTAGATGTGTTGCGTAGGTGGGGTGGTAAGCTACGCGCGAGGCAGTGCATGAGGTCTTGGGTTCGAATCTCACGGGACGCAGCGGTGGGAGGCATTATTTTTTTTTAAAGTTGGGAGGACCTTTAGTCCCGGTTGGTGTTATGCACCGGGACTAAAGGCCCGGTTCCCGACCCGGGACTAAAGGGTAGTCCCGGATACTTACTCCCGGGTGGGGAACCGGGACTAGAGGAGGTTATCCACCGGGAGTAAAGCCCGTCCCTCCACTAGTGCTATATACTTTTGCAGAGATTGTGGTGGCATTGGGAGTTTAGTTCATGATATCCTGACCATATATTTTGAGGATAGATGGTAAGATATATGGATGTTTCTTTTTCGCTTCTCCTATATTCCAGGAGACTAAGTTTTTTTATTGACAACATATAATTTTTTGATTGTCATTATTTGGCTATAGAAAATGTAAATTGTTTTTTTTGTAAGTTGTACTTTTATTAGTTAGCAACCTCAACTACTTCTCCAATAACAAGCAGCAAGCAGGGGAGTAGGAGCTACGAGGTTCTAAAGGATACTAGAACTCTAGAAGCAAGAGATCTGGGTATATGAGAGAGGACTAGAAGAGGAAGAGAAACAATAGAGTGGAGATGGATGTGTCTGGTTCTCTGAATAATCTTCTCCCTCCTTGATTCCCCTAGTGCTGCTACTTATTATGTATTGTACTTGGGGCCTTGTCGAGAGCAATTGTATTCACGCAAATCACGCAGTCATTACTTGTGTAATTTTCTCCCTCCTTGATTCCCCTAGCTCTACAACGCAAATTCTATTCATTATTACTCGAGTAATTTTCTCAACTTATTAGTCGTTTTCTTGTCAGTCAGATATTGCTATTTGAGAATTGAGAGCGATGCTTTTGGTTCTTTTTATTTAGCTAATGCTAGGAACGAGCGTCCGGGCATCCGGACACTCCATCAGTGGGCTGTGCGACGCCAGCCCAAGACCTCGATCCTCCATTTTTAAATAAAAAATCAGCAACCAGGTGTGGCGCGCGACCGCCTCCGAGGCGCAGCGCTCAGCCGCTGACCCTGCCAGGCCACTCCAGCGCGCCGCCGCCGCCATCCCCGCGGCGCCTTCGTCCCCCACCGCACAAAGCCCATCCTCCGCCGCGCCCAGGGTCTGTACTCTGGCCCAGGCCCCGGAGCAGGTGCTCGCCCAGGGGTGCTCGTGTGCTAGGGGCGCATCGACGAGCTCCATGTGTAGTGGCGGCGTCGAGCTCCGTAATTCGTCCAAGCAGCAATGTGACATTGCGCGCTGGAAATGCATGTTGCAAGAGTATGTTTCAAGTGTTTAAGATGTTTCATCTAGATGTTGCAAGTGTTTCATGTGGTCGTTGCAAAAGTAGATCGGGATATTGCATGTGTTGCAATGGTTGTACACGTATGCTGCAAGCTTTTGTTCCCAATGTTTCAGATATTTTTCAGACGTATGTTGCAAATGTGTTTATCTGAATGTTGCTCGTGTATCGCACATATGTTGCATGTGTTTTATCTGGATGTTGCATATATTTTGCAATGGCTTTTCAAGCGTTTTCAGGTGTTTTTACAAGTGTTTCAGATGTATGTTGCAAGTGTTTCAACTGTTTTCAAATATATGTTACAATGTTTCATTTGGATGTTTTAAAAATAAATCGGGTGTTACATTTTCCTCCTCGCCTTTGGCTACCTCGCCTCGGTGTCTCCTCCTCTTTTCGATGCTGGTGATGTTCGGGCGACGTGGGCTCGTGTGGGGACGGACGGCGTGGGTGGAGCGAGTCGTTTGAGCGGCGCAGAATGCAAGCGGGTGGGGCGTGCGGAACGGAGTAGGCGCAGGGAGCGGCGTCCGAACGTGGGCCTAGGGCTAGACGTCCGAATGTGCGCCTTGTGCTAGACGTCCGGGCGCTAGCCTGATGATTTTTATTTTTCCCAGGTCATGGGCTGCTTCTGTCTTTTACTTTGTTGTGCTCTGGAATTTAGCTCGGTCCAATGGGTAATCTCAGTTGCCGAGCTGCCATGACCAAACCGGGGAAAAATATCGCGTAACGTTTTCTAGCCATTTGATTGTTAAATAAAGCCCAACAAAGTAAGCCCATTTTGTGCCACTATCCTTGCAGGCCCAAGCCAAATCTATGCCCTGATGGTGATTTGTCTTGTGTCTATGGTGCACTTGTGTTAATTAAGAGGGCCCATCCCAATGGTAGTCACGACCATTGATGGTAGAAATACCAACAATTTGAAGGTGACGTTCCTAAACAATGTATGTATCGAAAGGTGTTATATTTTCTTATCGAATTTGCTTCACAATTAAGTTCATATTAGTAGCGGCGGTGGTAATGAAAATTTAGAAATGTTACACAACAGAATTAACAAAATTTCAGAAATGTCACCAACACAAGTTTTTCAACAAAGATTTCTGGCCTATGCATAATTCATTCACTTTAATCATTCCTCGTTACAGATCCATCCTTTGGCTGATAGCAACAAGCTCATAAAGAACAAACAAAAAAACAGAAGAAACACAGATGCAAGTACCATACTAAGCTCTAATCTATACCTAATAATAAAGACGTAAAATTTTCGCCTCTTTTTTGGTCCCATTATTTTGGTCTGGCCTTTCTAACTAACTCTGTGAATGTCCAAACTGTTTCTATTTGTATGTCTACAATCCTCCTATTTTATATGCCTAGCATAGACATCTGAATAGCTACAAATCTTAATCCTAATCCTAATCCAAATAGGTCCCTTCGATTCTGAGTAAGTTGAATAGAAATCCTAATCCTAATCCAAATAGAAAGGGGTAAAGGTAGAAATTAGATAATTCTACCTATTTGAATTCTACCTATTTGGATTAGGAAACAGTCGGCAAAGGATTTGCCGAGTGTGAGGTGTTTCTATGTTGGAGATTCTGGGAAATAAGCAATAAAAATTATCTCGGACTCTTAGAGATGCCATGTGCAAAGAAATAAATAGAAGCTGAGTGTATGACCCCATGAGCCATGACGTGATCAAATAGTAATTTTGTACGATCACAGAAATGAAGTGTTGAACCAGTTGCAAGAAATTTTGGCCGTCGGTAATTTAACCATGCATGGTATGACGTGCAGGAGAAGATACAAGCATGCAGCATCCGATAAAAGAGGAAAGACTAAGGACCTGTTTGGCACGACCTGTTTGGCACGGCTCCTCCTGAGGGGCTCCTCCGGAGGAGCCGGAGCCGTTTTGGAGGAGCCACAAATTGTGGCTCCTCCAAAATGGCTCCGACTCCTCTATTTTTTACTGAAAAACGGCTCTTCCAAGAAAACGTTTGGCAGGGCTCATCTGGAGGAGCCGGAGCCGGAGCCGGAGAGGAGCCCTGCCAAACAGGTCCTAAGAGGAATCGATAATTTAATCTTGCATGCAAATTCGTTTGCTAGACGGAGAGGCCAGGAGACTTGCGGATACGTAAACGTGAGCCGCAGTAACGTGTTATTTTGTGACCCACTGGCTGGACCGAAGCTAGATTACATAGATATTTTTCTATTTGGCTCGGGCTATTGAACTTTATATGCAAAGACAAGGTGCCGCCCTATACGGAGGGATTCCACATTCAATCCTCGAAAAACACATCTATTTCTTTATTATGTTCTACCTCAAACTCTTTCAACCCCTTGCTGTCCACCGTCTCTCTCGATGAGGTTCGTCGGCGTTCTAGTGTGCCTTGCCGACACTACAACACCCCCATCATGTGTCTCCTCAATGATCTTCCCAGGAGGTGTACGTGAGTTTATCGGCCTCAAGAACAAGCTTCTAATCAGCCTCGTTGACCTGTTGGTCGGCCTCGCCATCGGGGTCTTCCTCCGCTACGTGTGCTAGGCCGTCTTTGGGCGATGTAGCCCCTTCCGGTGTGTGAACCAAATCGGCGTCAACACTACCTTAACCTATTCCGATAAGCTTAACTAGCACACATGTACAGACTCACACCACACTCACACCCAATTTGATCACTCATGCCGTTGTGGTCACCATCCCCATGATCCACCTTCTAATAAGCTTAACTAGCAAACGTGTGTCGGCACTCATGCCGTTGTGGTCACCATGCCCATGACAATGTCGGAGTCATCCACTGTACGTAGGCCGATGAATGGAGCGGTAGCACGGTCACATGGAGTAGTAGGTGCTCTACAAGTTTGTGGAGGACGACGATGGCGCGCACAGACCTTTTTCAAGGGTGTGGCACCATGTTGAGTAGTATATTCTAGGATGCATGTTTTGGTGTATGTGCGCGCATGCACGCACGAACATGTGCACATTATATATATATATATATATATATATATATATATATATATATATATATATACATATAGACACACACACTTCTTCCGTTCTAAAAAGAAAAATGTAATTCTTACTTTTCGACGAGTTAATGACTTCAGGAATCTCGAGACCTACCGGCTTAGTCATTTGAAGGTGCTTATAGGGGTAGGATTTGCGTACGTGTATTCATAGGGGGTGAGTGTACGTGCGTGTTGTGGGCATCTGCGTTACCGTATAATTCTCAAAAAAAATTCTTAAATTTAACCTAAAACTATAAAAAAGTATTAATTTCTATAATGTTGAATAACTATTATTGGATTATATTAGTTATGGAATACATTTTCATAAATGAACTTATTTGAAACATAAATATTAACACTATTTTCTATAAATTTAGTCAAACCGTAACAAAGTTCGACTGACTCAAAATTAAACCTAGGATACATTCTTTTTGGGAAGTAGAGACTACTTGCATAGTTGCATTGAACAAGCTAGCAAAGAATTCAGCAAGCCTATTGTCGGACCACATGCATCAGTCGCCTCGATCATGATATGATGTCCTTCAAAACCTTCTCACCTGTACGGCTGTACCTTGACAAAACGCCGTTGGACACTAAACAAAACTGAAGATACACATGTTCATGCATTTTCGATCTATTACAGCAACTACGCATTATTATACTTATACGTTCGACAGCAACAAGAGAACGGCACGGGTGGACAAAGCTGATGCTTTTGATAGGTACATCTTTTCCTATTGCAACGGACAGATATACACTACTGGAAACTCGAATTGCCCTGTGTGACGAATTTTTCTGTGCGTTTTTTTGGTACGCACAGAAAAATTACGATTATTCTGTCGGTTCCAAAATATCCCGACAGAAAAATACGAAAACCCACAGAATAATTGTATAATTTTTCTGTGCGTGACAATACACACACGGAAAAATCAGAACTCACAGAAAAATGCAATTTATTCTGTCGGTACTTTAAAAACGCACAGAAAAAATATATGCACGCACAGAAAAATATATGCACGCAAAGGATAAATAAAAAAACAAACAAGTCCTAACCCTAACCCGCCGGCCGCCGCCTCCAAACACCCTCTCCCTGCCCCCGCTCCCCCTCACTGCCTCCCGTCGGCGGCCGGCCCCGGCCCCTCCCCTCCTTGCCCCACGCCCCCCCGGATCTACCGCCTCCTCTCCTCCCGCCGGCAGCCGGCCCCGACCCCTCCCCTCCTTGCCCCGCGTCACCTCGGATCCGCCGCGCCGCCCTGGATCTGCCACCTCCTCTCCTCCCGCCGGCCGGCCGGCCCCTCCCCTCCTCTCCTCCCATTGGCGGCCGGCCCCGGCCCCTCCCCTCCTTGCCCCGCGCCGCCCCGGATCCGCCGCCTCTGCTCCTCCCGCCGGCGGCCGGCCCCGGCCCCTCCCCTCCTTGCCCTGCGCCGCCTCGGATCCGCCCCAAATCCGCCGCGCCGCCTCGGATCCGCCGCCTCCTCTCCTCCCGCTGGCAGCCGGTCCCTCCCCTCCTCTCCTCCCATCGGTGGCCGGCCCCGGCCCCTCCCCTCCTTGCCCCGCGCCACCCCGGATCCACCGCCTCCTCTCCTCCCGTCGGCGGTCGGCCCCTCCCCTCCTCTCCTCCCGCCGGTGGCCGACCCCGGCCCCTCCCCTCCTTGCCCCGCGTCGCCCCGGATACGCCCCGGATCCGCCGCGCCGCCTCCTCTCCTCCCGCCGGCGGCCGGCCCCTCCCCTCCTCTCCTCCTGCCGGCGGCCGGCCCCGACCCCTCCCCTCCTTGCCCCGCGCCGCCTCGGATTTGCCCTGGATCCGCCGCGCCGCCCGGGATCCGCCGCCTCCTCTCCTCCCGCTGGCGGCCGGCCCCTCCCCTCCTCTCCTCCTGCCGGCGGCCGGCCCCGGCCCCTCCCCTCCTTGCCCCACGCCGCCCCTAGATCCGCCGCGCCTCCTCGGATCCTCCCACGGTGGCCGTCCCCGGCCAGAGCGCAGCGCGGCTGGGCTCCGTCGGTGGCCGGCGCTGTGCCTGCTCACCGGTGCTACCTCCTCCCGCCGGTCCACGTTGGTTCTTGTGCTCCACGAAACCCTAGCTCCTGTGCTCCAGGACCCCGGCTCCCTCTCTCCAGATTTGGCGGCACACCGGGCGGGCATACTGCTGGTAGATATTTTGTGAGTTTTCATTTCCATTTAGGTAGATATAGCAATTTAAGATGCTCTGATGTGGGTTATGATTATCTTTTCCTCTAATTAAATCAGTTTGTTAGCTCGCTTCATGGAGATATTATATGTTCAGCGGCCAATTTCAATTTGACGGTTTGCCTTGTTCCAGATAGTTCACTGACTGTGTTAGCTTGGTTATTGCAACAACTATGAAAATGATGTTAAAAGCACCTGATGTAGATGTAGTGCAAATTGTGTAGATGTAGCACTGTGGAGCCAGGATTCAGGAATGATGATGACAGTTTACAGTAGCTGTCTTTTTTGAGCTTGGTTATGACTCCTCGAATTCAATTGAAACCTAGAAGTTGGTATAGTAATAACTTCAGCGTGTGACTCTAGCACACCTTATGCTGGATATTGAAAGGTTTGTCTCTTCTTGGAATGTATATGGCCTTGTTTTATCATACTGCTCATTATTTTCAAAAAAAAGAAAACCTTTTAGTCCCAAGCAAATTGAGGTTTGCTAGAGATGAAACCCAACATGAGCCACCGATAATGTAAAATTAAAAAGAAGATAAAAAGCATAAAGAATCCAGCTCTACATATTGGGCATTTATGTATGCTATTTGTTTGCTTCTGGACATTGACACCTCATGTCTGCAGGAAAACCTGCTGCCATTCAATATGGAACTGGTTCAATTGCTGGTTTTTTAAGTGAGGATAGCGTTACATTGGGTGATCTGGTTGTGAAGGATCAGGTTAGTGCGCACTTGTATATGTTTATTTGTATGAAACAGTGCTCTTATGTATATGTTATAATATGTGTTCGGAATTCATTTATTGCATCTCTCTGGTCACATCAGTTCCACTTGGAAATAATAAATATTGTGTTGCTTTATTAGGAATTTATTGAAGCTACAAAGGAGCCAGGCCTTACCTTCATGGTTGCAAAATTTGATGGCATTCTTGGGCTAGGCTTTTAGGAAATATCTGTTGGGAATGCAACACCAGTGTGGTAAGCTTTTTGTGGCCGTCAAAGTTCAGATTGTTTAATCACTTGTCTTTCAATTACAATAAAAGCAATGATCGTTCCTTTGTGCATCTAGCTTTAGCTGTTGTTAAGATTCTTTCAGTCTTGTGCCGCGCTGCTCTCCCCTTCCCTAACTATGCCTTGTGACTTTTTTGTTTTGTTTTGTACTACTCTTGAGTGGAATCAAGTTTCCATTAGAGAACTTCTGCACTTTAGCACCTTATGAGATGGTACTTGGGATATTTTGTTCTGTTTGCTGCTTAACTAGGATGAGTGAAGTTTCCTTTCTTCAATTACCTTTTGCCATAAAGACTACTCTGAACTTTGGTGGTTATACTATGCAATTTCCTGTTCTATTTTCTACAGTGCGTTCTATTTTCCTTACTGTTTTTAGTAGATGGCATTCGGTGTAAATCAAATTGGCTTGTGACCTGAGATGAAAGGTACTGATCAGTCCCCACTATGCTCAATAAAAAGGCAAACTTCTTACAATACTAGTGTTTTTTTGCTGACTAAAAATATGTCTTTGCTTAACAGGTAGAGATGGAGTGGAAGGTGAAGCAGTTTACTATTGGTTGAACAAGAAAAAATAGTTGTTTCTTTTTCCATATCCATATTTGTGAATTTATTGTATTATTCATGTTGAACAAGTAGATAACTACATATCATATTTGTATATATGATATATGTGCTAATAGATTAGACTGATTCCATTTTTGACATCAAGTGTTGACTCCATTTATGCAGGATTACTGATTTCTATGTATTATTTGAATGCTATATGCTTCTGTGAAAATTATATTAAATATACCATTTTCTATGAGAGATATATATTAAAGATCTACTGCTTTTTTTTTTCCGAGGATGGCTATACAGAACCATTATTTTTAGTCTGGGTGAAAGGAATTTTTCTATGAGTTGACCTAACCGACAGAAAAAATACATGTTTTTTGTGTGTGTTTGTTTCTTTTTTTCTGTGTGGATATCCACACAGAAAAATTAGTTTTAATCTTGGTGAACGTGATTTTTCTGTGCGTGTAAGACCGACAGAAAAACTATTTCTGACGGCGAACCGACAGAAAAATTCGATTTTTCTGTCATTCTATTTCTGTGTTACCGTCAGGAAAATATTTTTCTATGGGTATTCGCATTTTTCTGTGGGTTTTTGCACGCACAAGAGTATTCGAGTTTTCAGTAGTGATATTTACTAGTATTTATTAGTATATGTCCCAAATATATATTTAACATAAAAGGTGCCAAATATACACCAATATAATACGGCGATAAATATGCCTCTCCCATGAAATGTACAATACCTAGCTCATTCAAGCACCTCCCTTTTCCTCACTGTTATTACTATCACTATTATACAAGCTAAGATAAATTTGTACAGCATGTGTATGGACTGATGGAAACATGCACTACTACAGAAAATACAGCAGTCCTTACTCGTTAGTCATTCTGTGGCGTACTAATGTACTACTAGTCATGGCGTCCGTATTTTCCTGCTCAGCTAGCAGTCGTATTTGCCGGCTCAGATTTGTCACTAGCAGAAACTAGTACTAAGTAGGGGTAGCTGTCGTCAAGGTTTCCTCCTCCCATGTTTTTCAGAGTGTGTACATGGGTTCAAACACATGTGAGTTGAGTCACCACTCACCACTCGCAGTCGCACGCAGGGCTTGAGAAGCAGCTAGTCCTGGTCACTTGGTCAGTGTGTTTCAAACTCGATCCCAGGTCTTGATGAGATCGAGCTCCCCGCCGTGTAAACAGCGAAGGTGCCTACAAAAGTCTGATCACTGTCACTGCGAACTCATGCTGTGGAAGGATGTGTCGGCTTCATAAACCCGGGGTTCCCAATAGACCCGCTTTCCAGCGAAAACTGGGCTCAGCAGACGGCGTAGCGACAACGCGCGTCTCTCGGGCCGGCCCAGATAGCTAATGACAGGCCGGGAGATCGATCCGATCTCCGACCAGAAGGCATGGCAAAGGAGGGGATATCGCCCGACTCCGACCTCCTTTTCCGACCGGGAATACGCTGGACCTCCACTTACAGCTCTTCCCCGACCGACACGGTCGGAGCCGACCTGGAACGACCGACCGTGGACGCCCGCTCGGTGAGGACCTAAGGATCAGGCGGAGCAGATAAGGTAACGCGCTCAAGTCAACCGCAATACCGAGGACCGTACTCTGCCATACCCTACACACTTGCAGGACAGTGCCACCAGGCCGTGCCAGACGGGTACTATGCAACCTTCCGGGCGTGTCAGAACCCAAATAGTGTTGTGGGCGCCGATATTTGTCTTACAGTATTGTAGGCGCCGATATTTACCATACCAGGCCAACACGGTAAAACCTGCCATACGTGTTTGGGCATGAACTTGTGGGCACCGACAATCGTCTCGCACCCGATGGCGTGAGCAACAAGACTAGATAGCACACATACACACACTCTCTCTAACTTGTAAGGCCATTCCCTTCACCTATAAAATAGAATGCACTCTCTCCCAATAGGGACGATCGTTCAGACTCTCTCTGGCTAGATTCTCTCTCTAGATTTGGCTCTAGAGAACCTGAGCATTCGAACAGCTCCACAAGCTCTAGATCTCAACAACTATATAGAGCATACGCTCCAATACTTAGAGCACACTAGAGCACCTGTCACTCTTAACCACTTGGTTTAGAGTCCGACCAGGCCTCTAACATCCCCTTCTTATTCCATATCTGTTTGTAACCCTACAACAAACCTTGAGCACCTGGGCTCAGGAATAAAGTCACCGACCGACCGAAACTGGACGTAGGGCACGTTGCCTGAACCAGTACAAATCCTATGTCATTGAGTGCTAGGCCACATCTGATCACAACGCACGGCAAAACTACAAATATTTACTTGTTTGTCACTTTTCACACCGACAGTTGGCGCCGTCCGTGGGGAGGATGCCGTGCGTTCACGCTTTTGATCATCGGATGGCCCATCTTTCCACCATCTTTGACATGGCAGGCCCAAGCGATACAATTCGCTTTGGCTCGCTGGAGTTTCGCACGCTCCCACCTGTTGGGATGTGGGTTCCTCCCGTCTTTGAGCCGCTCCAGACCTTCCTCTTCGGAAGTCTGGACTTCGTCGCCGACTAGCTCGGCGTACTCTGCCTCTGCGAGGAGGCACCTGTCCCGGCGCCCACTGGAGGAGGAGCGCCCTCTGCCGGCCTCGGGCCACTCGACGACCTCAACGTCGAGACACCTGCGCTTCGCTTCGAGCCCATGCTGGGCTCAAACTCTACGGCGAGTAATGTACATATTGTTCTTTATTCACTATTTAACACCTTCTGCCGACGCTCTGGAGGGACCCCGTTGTCCCCGCCACGACCGTCGTGTGACCGGTTCCCCTATGGCTTCACGTCCCCTGCGGACGCGTACGCACGGGGGCTCCGAAGGATGCTGGCGCCGCCCTCTCTCACATCCGAATTCGTGGGGATGGCGGGCTATGCTCCAGCCTCTTTTCATGACCTCGTGGATGATGAGGTTGAAAGCGACAGCTCCAGCATCGGTGATGTCATGGCACCTGGCAACCCTCTGTCCCGGGAGTGCGCTATGGCGGACGCTCCGAGACAGCCACTAGTGGTAGCGGAGTCTCTACAGACTCACACCCCTCCGGACCCTCATGCGGAGGCCCTCGCACGTGCGTAGGAGCACAGCGAGGAGTTACAATAGAGGCGGCGGAGCCAGCCGCCACCTGCGCTGGCATGCTCGGCGCAGCACGCTACGCCACACGCGCGTAACCCAGCAACCCACTAGAGAGCGCATCTAAAGAGCGCCATTCCCACAGCGCTTCGGACTACGGGCCTTTGGTCATCGCATCTAGGGAGCACCGTTCCCACAGTGCTTCCGACCACCCACCAACATCGCTAGATACACCGGAGAGACGAACCCCGGTATATGGCTCAAAGATTTTTGGCTCGTCTACCGAGCCAAAGGAGTGAATGATGACCACTTCATCATTCAGTATCTCCCCATCTGCGTGGGGGATCATGTTCGAGCATGGCTTGAATTCATCCCGCCTAATAGCATCCGTGACTGGCGGATCTCAAGAGGGTCTTCGTCGGAATTTTCTAGGGGACATATGTCCATCCTAGGAATTTCTGGGACCTCAAGAGCTGCCAGCATAAGGCCAACGAGTCCCTACGGGATTACACCCATAGGTTCTCAAAGCAGTGCAACTCTCTTCCTGATGCCGTTGACGCTGACATCATCAGCGCGTTCCTCTTTGGGACAACTTGTGAGTCCTTGATCCACAAGCTCAGCTATCTGAAGCCCCGTACCACCCGTGACCTGCTTGACGTCGCCACGAACCACGCCTCCAGTGAGGAGGTGGTTGGAGCAGTTTTGAGCGGCGGCCGAGATAGGGGCAAGGTCAAGAACGAGGACCAAGGCAAAGGCCCCTCCACACAAAGAGGCAAGAAGAACAAGAAGGATCGGCACTGACCGACCAACCTAGCCTTGGTCGCTGTAGCTGATCGTGCGGGCAAGCAGCCCCAGCAGGGCCAGTCCGACCACTTCGACAAGGTCATGGAAAGTCCATGTACCAACCATGCCTACCCCATCAAGAACGTATATAAGGACTACGAGCTCCTCAAGCGCTTTCTACGGCAGGCTGGCAAGCCAAAGGAAGGGAAAGGCAAGGAGGAGGCGGCCAAGAAAGGAGGCGCGGTGGGCAAGGATGATGACAGCTTCCCTGACCCCGAGGAATGCCTCATGATCTTTGGGGTATCCGATGCCATCAACTCCAAGCGCCAGCACAAGGTGCGCTACAGAGAGGCATGTGCCACCGAGATGGCCATCCCCTCTTTCCTTAGCTAGTCGGACTCTCCGATTACTTTTGATCGGAGAGACCATCCTTCCCATATCGCTCGACCGGGTCGCTACCCAGTCGTTGTCGACCCCATCATCCGCAAGAAATGC